CCCTAGTTTTGATCCTCGCACCATAGCAACCTTTCCTGGTGCTTTAGAATTCAAGGCCATCCTTTAGCTATATAGTTAGAGAAAGAAGAGGAAGGGGAGGGGGAAAGGGAGAAAGAGAGTAATGAGAACAAAGGGAGCTCCGACTTTAGAAACACCATGAAGTTCCTCTATTTTAAGACTGTGAAGAGCATAGATGATATGTCTTATTTAGCTTAGGCTGTCAACTTGACATGGCCTTGAGAACAAATTCTCAGAATGATTGCCCAGTTCATGTTGGCCGGTGGGCATGCCTGTGGGAGACTGTCTTGATTGTGAACAGACGTAAGGGAGTGCAGCCCACTGTGGGCTGCACCATTCCCTGGGCAGGTGGTCCTGGGCTGCATTCGATCCGAAAAGCACCATTCCTCTTTGGCTACTACTTCAGTTCCTGCTCTGACACGCCATGATGATGAAGTGTAACTTGTAACGCTCCTTTATTGGGGTTGTTTAGGCCTCTACCTCCCTTCCACCAGCGCCCTAACCTTAATTAGGAGAGAGAAGATTAGTCCCTGCTAGTTAGGGTCAGTGGGTCTTTTGGGGTTCTATACCCATCTCTGTCAACCACAGATGCCTCTGGACCCCAAAGCATTTCTCTCCATCTGTCTGTTCCAAACCACTACACTGTCTCTGGTCTCTGATCTCTCCAAACTTTTACAGGCCACATGCCAACACTGAACGCCACACAGAACGCCACCTTGTCTTTTTCCAGGCTCTCATATTTATGCTCTCAGAGCCCTAGACCACACCCCCCTCCGTGCCGCATATGGAAGGCCGTTACTAGCTCCACGCGAGACAATTAACAGTGTGGACAAACTATAGCCCAACTAAAACCTCAACAAAAGTGTATTTATGTAACATACAAAGAAACCAAAACCTCCATTACAGTAACCTGTCAGCTGAAATCAACACTCTGTTCCCCTAAGTTGTTTTTGGTTAGTGTCCTATCACAGCAAGAGAGGTGAAATTAGAACAAGGTGCTATTCTTATTTATTACAAATTTGTTCTCTTCTAACTTCAGGCCATGATACCTAATTGAATTGGCTATGCTAATCTACTTACACTAAAGTATATTTTTCTTTCTCAGCCTGGCTTTATCTGCCTCACCAGAACTCCAGATTGGGGAATTTTTAAATTATAGCTCACAGCGCAATCCATAATTCATGCACAAGTAACATCCTTTTGGAAGCTCTTCTTCAATTTTTGTCAGCACTCCTGGGAGCACAGGAGGAATTAAGGCTCCCTAGTTGCGGAACACCCCATGGCTTCATGATACTGACCTCCTTCCCTTCTGCAGAAATTGCTTAGCAGAACTTCAGCAGTCTTCAGCCCTGGCCTCTGGAGTGCCATGGGGAGGGGGGGTGTTAATGTTTTCCCTTGCATTTCAAAAACCACATTAACATTTAAGAGTATGAAAAAACAAAACAAAACAAAACAGACCAAGCAAGGAAGGAAAGTGCAGGGGTGAGAAAGAATCTCCAAAACACCGTGTTTCCAAAAGACCAGAGAGTTTCCAGTCAGTTCTATCGCTGATGAGTTGTACACGGGTGCCGTCTGCACCAGGGACTCAGAGATCGTCTCTTGGAACTGTTTGGCAGCTCTCCGTGCAGCCCAGTAGGTGAAAGGCATGTGTGTTCTTCGTGACCTCTATAGCTGTAGGTCAAATCTGAGAGCATTCCTCTCTCCCCTTTTTTCCAAATTGGGTTTGTGTATAGACCATTGAAAATGCCTTATTAACTAATTTCTGATGTAACTTTATCACAGAGTTCACGCATCACAAAATAGGTTGTTTATACAGAACGATTTGTTTGTTTTTCATGTATATCCAGATTGTCTTTTCTTTGTTTTGTTTCTTCATTTTTCTTTTCTAGGAAAAAGAGGCAGCCCTTGGTATTCACATATGTATCTACCGTGTATTTGCTGAGCATCTATAGACTCAAATAAAAATCCCTATCCTTGCGGAATTAGCAGTCTGTTGGAGGAACCCAACAGTGGGCAAGTAAAATAAGTAAATTGTAGAGTGTGTCAAAAGTAAGAAGAAAAATAAAGCAAGACAAGAATAGGCATAGCCATGGCAGTGGACAGAAGGGAAACTGTGACTTTAAATAGAATTATTACAGAGCCAGGGCAATAATGTACGCCTTAATCCCAGCACTTAGGGAGGCAGAGGCAGGCGGATCTCTGGGAGTTTGAGGCCAGCCTGGTCTACAGAGTGAGTCCAGGACAGGATGGACTACATAGAGAAACCCTGTCTCAGGAAAAAAAAAAAAAAAAAGAATTATTACAGAGTGTCCCGTAAGAAGGCAACATGCAAGCAAGGACCTGAGAGAGAAAAGGGACCGGTCACATGCTTGTGTGGGGAGGTACGCTACGGCAGAGCAAATTAGTGGAACCGGACAGTACATGCAGAAGTGAGACATGAGGTGAAAGGCATGTTCTAGAAACAGCCAAGAGCCCAACGTGCCCTGGACTTAATAAGTGAAAGAAAGAATAATTCAAAGTTAGATCAGGAGGATGAGTGGTGGAAAAATCCGGAAGGACCTTGACCACCTGTAAAGGCCTTGGCTTTTCTTTCTGTGTGGTGGGGAGTCCCTGCACAGTCCCTGAACAGAGGGGTACCACCAGCCAATTTGCTTCAACCAGGGTCGTGCCAGCTAGCCTCCCTCTAAGGCTAACTAAAGTATTCTCGATGAACGAGGGTGTGGCCTCCACCAGCCGCAATGGCGAGGATAAGAACTGACTGATTCTGGAGGTAGAACGGATCTAGAGCCAACAAGCTTAGCAGGTGGAGACGAGGAGTGTGAGAGCAAGAGGATGATGGGAATGCAACTCTGAGTGGCAGCAGTGCGGGCCATCCCCACCCAGTGAGGACATTTGGCACCCTGCATCTAAGTGGCGGAACGTCCGATATTTAGGTTTGAACTCGTGCCTATTTCTCGGCAGTGTCTCAAATTAATAAAAATTATTTATTACAGTAGTTCCAAAATATATTACAGCTATTGTAGCATTGCGTTAGAAGACTGTATGTCTCTACTCTGATGGTAAAGGCCATTTCTTTATTATTAAACTAGTAATGAACTACTTCCACTGGGAAATTTAATAGAGCACATTTGTTGCTCGGAATTAACGAAGTGATCCAGTGATGTGAGGAGGTCACTCTTTGTGACTAATTTAACATATTAAATGGCTTTAAACACATTACATCAGATTGTATTGGTGTTTCAATCATCACTCATAAGCTCTTTGTGTTAACTCTTCATGGAGCTGTAATCATTGAACATAAGCATATACATTTCCCATTTAGTAACATCACTTTGTGGCTTAAAAATTAGATTTTGTGAGAATTCTCTCATAGAAATTGGCATAACCCAGGGCCTTTATCTTTCTAGAAAGTAGATTTACCAGCAAGCTCCTGGACCACAGCAGGATTTAGGGCTATGACTTCCGGTTTCAGGCCACCCAGCAGTGGCACGGAGGATGCCCTTGCCCAGAAGGAAGAAGTGTGTCGTTATCATTGATGTTGTGTAAACATTTTAGGTGATACTGCTAATAAAATGCAAGCTGACTTTATGTCTGGATTCTCTACAATATTCTATTGCACGAACCAAAGGCAAACACCTCCTACCTACCCCTCTTCCACTCCACTCCCACTCTCTGTTTGGACTGTGGGCATAAACTGTAATTTAAGTCTTTGTTCCCTTATCTGCTTAATGACAACCTTCAAGCCCACCATTCTGACATCATAAGGATTCAAAACAAAATGAAGTAAAAGTACAGGGGATGATAGTATTGGTGAACCGTTGAAAGTCTTCTTATAGCATGAAGATAAATGGGTGTATAGGTAACAACCTTTTCACACCCGCTGTGCTTTCTAGCTCCTAGAACTCTGTCTGTGCTGATCCCTACATTGGGGCCCTTTTCTCTATTCCTGTTTTGAAACTCTGTTCCTCCCAGCCGGGAGGGCCAGCTGTTCCCAGCTCTGGGAAGCCTTTTCTTATTCTCACAGATAATATAATCTCTGTCCTTTCTCCCATCCAAGTACTGAACAGGCCAGACCCTGCTTAGCTTTTCTAGACTAGATGAGCTTGGGCACATTCAGGGTGGTATGGCTGTAGACTTTCCTTTCTTCCTTTTACGTCTCTGTTGTTGAACCCAGACCTCCTGTACTAACATCTGTATTTTTCATGAGACGCCCAGGGGACTAGTGTGCACTGTGAAGAGAAGTCCTACTTTGACTATCACTTCTTGAACTTGGTTGCCTGTTGAATTGTCGGAGGGGTTTTAAAGCTTAATTCCCAGTCTCTACCCCCAAGAGCCTCTGATCCGGTTGATCTGGGCACAGCCTGGACATCAGTGTTGTTAAGATTCCCAGTGACACCAATATGCAGCAATGTGGGAGACCCACTGTTCTGTAAACGCCCCTCCCACTTCCTTACGAGGCCTTCAGGCTCACTCATGCTCTCTGATGCTGTGATTATTTGTGTTCACACGTGTTTTCTCACCTCGGTTAAACCATGTCTTTTAAGAGTAAAAACTAACTTTTAATTCAGTTTTATCACCTTCTTCCTTACAAAGCAGCCACGTTATAGGAATTTAATATTTACTGAAGGAATGGTTTATTTGTAAGCTTAAATTGTTCTCTTGACACCATAAATGTGGCTATTTGCCCAAACCTGAGGATTATTGGGACATAGCCTCAAAATCGTGGAGTTGTTTCTCAGTTCCAAGACCAAATCTCTGGAAAATCGGGGGCAAATAACTAGAATGGGCTTTCTAACAGAGCGTGGATTCTCTGGGTACCAGTGTGGCCATCCAGTTCCATCTACGTGTCTTTCCTGTAGAAAGCCGGAGCTTCGAATCCTGGTTCCAGAGGGCAGTGCAAAGTGATGCAGAATGTCCCCACATACTTTGGGCATCCAATTCGGAACTCTTGGCTAAAGCTTGATATTTTTCTTTCTCCCCAGGGTACCATTTTGATATCTGTGGGGATCGTTGGATCGTTGTTCTCACCATGAAGGCATCTGTTACTGAAGTGTTCCTTGGTAAGTACTTTTATATACGTGTATCTGGATACTCATTGAATCTGGCCAAGACAAAATCCAAGATCCTGTGTGTGTGCGTATGTGTGTTCATATAAAGCAAATATATATCATGTATACATAGTATGCACACGTATCTGTACTTTTCAGCAACAAACAAATATTTCAGAAATAGTATATTTGCAGATTTTGAATTTAGGATCCATTTGTTTCTTCATTTCTTTTCTTTTTCTTTTTTTTGGTTTTTGAGACAGGGTCTCTCTCTCTCTCTCTCTCTCTCTCTCTCTCTCTCTCTGTGTGTGTGTGTGTGTGTGTGTGTGTGTGTGTGTGTGTGTGTGTAACCCTGGCTGTCCTAGAACTCACTCTGTAGATCAGGCTGGCCTCAAACTCACAGAGACCTGCCTGCCTCAGCCTCCTGAGTGCTAGAATTAAAGGCATGTGCCACCACTGCTGGGCGTGTTTCTTAATTTCTAAAAGAGAAAGAGAATGTTTATCACTTTCATACTTCTGCCATAATCTCATACTTTGGGGATGAAATATTTGAGGCATTTCTTATCTCTGAAGAATACAGTTTAGACATATCTTTGAGGAACAGCAGGCCAACCGGAGTACAGACACTGCTAGTTGGTTTAGGACTGAGCCCAGGGTAATAATAGTCTGTTAAGTTAGTACCCACTGACTGAGGCTTTGCCAGCCAGCAGATTCCTGTAGGTCATGATGAAACTGTGGCATACAAATTCCTTATAGTCTCTATTAATTTGCTGGGGCTGTACCACAAGCTGGGTCACCTAGAACACCATAAAATGTGTTATCTTCTAGCTCTAGAGAGTTGAAACCCAAAATCAGTGTGTTGGTGAGGATGGCTCCTTCAGACGACGTTGAAGGAGAAGTCTATCCCATGCCTCTTCCCTAACTCCCAGGCAATTTATGGTGTTCTTTGCTGATAGGTACAACACTCTTGGCCCCACCACCTTCACATAGCATCCCATATATGCACATCTGTCTCTGGCTTTTCCCTTTTTGTAATGATATCAGTTTTATTGGGTCAAGAATTCCTGTATGACCTCAATTCCATTCAACCGATGAGATATCCTATTCACCTGTTTCCAGATCAGGTCATATTCAGAGTAACTGGGGACCCAGACTTCAGTGCATACATTGCATGGGGGAGGGATGAAATTTAACCCATACAGAGTGAGAAAATGTTTACATCTGCGCTGCGGACATCTTTTGGGGTACAAATGAGGACTGGAGAAAAAAGGTGACATAATCTGCAAGGCAAAGGGGATTTCGTTATAGGAGGGTGAGTCAGAGAGAGGTCATGGGTCCTGAGACACCATCAGTTTGCTGACATCGACAGCCAGTCATTATACCTTTTCCTATAGTCCAGTGGATCTCAACCTTCCTAATGCTGTGACCCTTTCATACATTCCTCATGTTGTGGTGACCCCCAACCATGAAACTATTTCACTGCTTCTTTATAATTACAATTTCGCTTCTGTTATGAATCATAATGTAAATATCTGATGTGCAGGTATCTGATATGCGACCCCTGTAAAAGGGTCATTTGACCTCTTAGGGAGGTCATGACCCGCAGGTTGAGAGCCACTGTCTTAGCGCCTGCTGTTTCTTCTGTAAATGATGTGACTGAGCTAGGGACCACCCAGATCTTTGTCAAGTGTCTTCAGGGTGTTAGGACAGTTTTCTCCAAACCACTTGTCTCTCAGTTAGCTCTCCCTTTCTCAGAGAGGAACATCAGTAGGTAGGTCATTGTTCATCCTCAGTGCCACCATATGCTGTTTCTGTCACATGGTGGTGGGGAGCACAAACAGACTTCAGGGTACTCATGCAGGAGCTCTCTCCCCAACTACTGATGCTCTCATCAGATTGGGAAAGAACCAAGAATCAGCTGTTACAAGGAAGTCACTGTCTGTTTCCAGGCTCTTAGTGTCTTGTTCAAAGAATTCAGGAAGCACATATAGGAATCACAGTAACAAGAAGTTTTATTCAGAAGCAAAGTGGCAGTACAGCGCAAACACACTGCAAGGGAGCAGCGGGCTCCTTGAGTTAGAACACTGACAGATCTCTGGCTACTGCCCTGAGCATCTGGGCTTCCTCTTATGGGGTCTAGGAGAAAGAGCAGTTGGTTGCAAAGGGACATACTTTGGGTGCTTTTGTTTTAATTGAGTTGGCTTGGATTATGTTCGCCTTTCTCTTTTTGAAGATTTAGTACTTTTAATTTTCTGTGTGTGGTGTGTGTGCGTGCGTGCACATGAATGCAGCTACCCACATAGTCCAGAAAAGAAAGCCAGACTCCCAGCAGCTGAAGTTACAGGGCACTATGTTCTCTGTGGATTCTGGGAACTGAACTAGAGGTAATAGGCCCTCTCCACCTCTGATCCACTTCTCCAGCCCCAAATAAGACTTTCTTTATGTACATGTGCCTAATCATAATTCACCTAACACTAATCATATACACATCCACTTACGCACAGGCATCAGATGAGAAACAGGAGAATTTCCCTGAAGCTCCACTCACAGGACACAGTTTCTCTTACTTTGCATGCACCCAAAACTGACCAATCCAGGCTGAGTCAGCCCCGTCTTTAGCTTCCTGGTATGTTAGGAAACATTCTTAATGGAAAATAGCTGCAAAGGGAGAGTTACCAAAGGTGTTGAGATGAGCGATGGCATTATTTAAAGCAGGGTGTGTGCGCTGCTCTGTGTGGGTGGGAGTCCCAGGTTATTAAATGCATGCTTAGAAGAGGGATTGGGGGTAGCTAGAGCCAAGGGAAATTCTGCTTAGCTAGGCTTTCCCAACATTAGGCTGCTCCATCAATGCAGTTATGTTACATGCCTCGCCTGCTTTAGTAATGAAGAGAACATTTTCCTTGGAAGTGCAATCTTTCACTTCCACCTTATTATTTTGAGCTGCAGGTTGTAAAATACTAATTAATAAAGTAACAGTTTTCTTTAGCCCCGCTAGGTTCCAAAATAATTGACACACAGAGACTATGATTTATTTTACAAGCTTAAAGCACAGGAGCTGGGCAGATATCAACCCTCTAAGCTCTTTAGCTACCTCTCAGCTATGCAACCCAATTTACTTGACACTAAGTCGCTCTGTCTGGGCTGTATCTGCTCCATCGTTCTGTCCTCAGGGCCACATGCTCATCATCCTTCCTGACCCATGGCAGCTCCCTTCCTGCTCTATCTTCTGCTCCTTCTCCCCGCCAAGCCTGGGAACCCAAACCCACCTACCTTTCTTCTGCCAAGTCACAGGCTTCAGCATTTTTATTAACCAATCAACTTTAAATTAGGTAGAGCAAGGTTTACACAACAAAGACAAGTGTGCATGAGGAAGTGGTCCTCTGGGTGGCAATCAGATCTGGGGAGCCTGTAGCTAGTATTAGAATACACAGCATCAGACCATCCCCGACAACAGGTTAACAAGTTTTTAACATTAGAAAAGTGGAGGTGAGTACTTCCTGTTCTTCACCTTGGCACAAGGTCAAGGTGGAAAGGAGAACCTCACAAGGGAATTTCTTCCAATCTTCAAGCTCTACCTCAATATCTGCATGGGGGAAAGTGAAGACAGACTGGCCCAGGCAGCCAAGGTGTTGGAGCAACTCACAGGCCAGACATTTGTAGGTCTTTTGGCACCAAGTGAAATAAAAAGATTGTCTTTCCCTGCACAGCTCATGGGACCACAGCAGAAGAAATCCTGGAAAAGGTCTGCATGTGCAGGAGTATAAGTTACGGAAAAGTAACTTCTCAGATACTGGAAACATTGGTTTGAGGATTCAAGAACACATTGATCTGAGCATCACATATGACCCAAGCTTTGGGATCTGTGGCCTGGATTTCTATGTGGTGTTGGGTAGGCGAGGTTCCAATATCACAGACAAGAAGCAAAGGACAGGATATAGCAGAGCCAAATGCAGAATCAACAAAGAGAAAGCCATGCTCTGCTCCCAGCAGACGTATGCTGGGATCATTCTTCCTGGCAAATAAATGCTATCCAAAAGGCCAATAAATTTTCCTCGGGGGCGGGGGAAGGGACAAGTGGAGGTGAGAAGAAGGAGAATAGGAAGAATTCCCTAAAACAAAAGGAAATGAATCTTAAGGATGTTCCACACCCTGCCCTTTCCTAAGCATCACAGAGCCAAGACCTAGCTGCTCTGCTCACTGCCTCTCTTGGCCTGCTCTTTTCCTCACGGGGATGCTCATAAAATCACAGTAGAAAAAGAGCTCCCTGTGCCTCAACACAATGGAAGCCACATATGACAGACAACCCCACAGCTTGGCCCACACTACGTACTTCCTCTCTGATGGTGAGTGAGATAACTATGTCCACTCTTGCACTGAAGTTCCTAGCCAGATCAGTTAGGCAAGGAAAAAGTTAAAAAGAAACAAACAAACCAAAAGACACCGAGGCTCCAGCCAGACCACATACTGCTCTTCAGGATGACTTGTCACCTATATTAGACAGCTCACAACCTGCTGTAACTCCAGCTCTAGAGGACCCTCGTTCCTCCGGGTAACAGAGACACCGGCAACCAATATCCCCCCCAACACACGCTTAATTAAAATTAATAGTTTAATTGGAAAATACTATTTATATTTGGAAAAAAAACCTCAAAATCATCTATGAAAACAGGTGACATGATATGTGAAAAATGTACACCAACAGGCCTTTAGAACTAGCAAACAGATTCATTAAATTTACAGAATTTTGTTACATTTCATTGTGTGACCAAATATGGCTGACAGAACAACATAAACGAAGGAAAGATTTGTTTGAGGTTATTGTTTCAGTGCATAATGTTAAAAAAAAAAAAAAGCCTGGGAGGGCGTTCTGTTCACTGGAGAACTCAGGGCATAGGCTCAGCAGGTCATGGCAGACCAGTTAGGGGTTTCAAAGCATGGCACGGTGACTAGTTCATGGTACTATGTTGCTTGCTTGGAACTTACCAGAAAAGTGGATCTAAAATGTTCTCATA